TCACATTCCCTTTTGCAAAAATCACCTCTTCAAAGTCAGGCAAGCTAGGTTTATTCAACGGAAGCAACTTAGATCAAATTCATCAAGCTAGCTGTTGAATACTCAAATAAGCGAAAACAAAAAAGGAAAAAACCTAAGGAAGCCTTTCTCATTTACACATTTATTTATCAAAGAGAGAACAGTTAATACTGTCTAGTATTATTTAGTATGATACATACTCAGTTTTAGACAGGAGTGTCGCAGTTCTACCTGCAGCTGTACACTCAGTCTCCTCCATGAAGACTGCAAGTTAGTACAACTGAGGTTATTGCATTGTTATCAATGAACATATTTCTGTTAAATCCTCTCTCATATAGTGGCAATCTCCTGTTCTGTATCTGATTCTGAATGGCACTGGCTACTATTTCTATGTAGCTACTTCTCTCCAACGTGTCTGAAAATTGTTTTCCTCACACTTGTCAATAACTATTTTCAGCATAATATTCCAAAATTACTTTCTACTTGTCAACATGACTGCAAAGTAATTTAACTATTTTGCCCTATATAATGCAGTTTGAGTCTTCAAAACAGTTCTTATTCTCGTGAAGACCAACTAATCTACCAGTGTGTCTTGACTTCTCTTTGTTCTATTGTTTTCAGTCCTTGTTTTCCTTTTTCAAGTATAGGACCCTCTGTAACAGTAAGACTAAAATAGATTATCTATTCCTAAAGCCCATTCCAGCCTTTTAAAAGCCTAATGGCAATTTTTAAGCCAATTTGCTCCAGGGATGCCACAGTACATTACATGCTTTAGAAATGGTTTAATGTTGTTTGATAGTACCTTAATTACTTGTTTCAGACACAGTATTAGGAACATTGGGGGTTGTTGTGGTATTTTGAACATTTTATTTCCCACCCTCCCTCCTTCCTCTAATACGTGCAAGACTTATAGATATTTTATCCCCATTTACATGTGCATATTCTTCTATACGGGTAACAGGTGTTCTACTCTTAGACTTTCACATTTAACCTAAATTGTTGGGTATGCCTATTCTGCTTGTGTTCTCAAATTACTGTTTCTGCATAAGCATATAGCTCCTCTGGTAGTCATTATTCTCTTTGCATTCATACTTGAGCCTATGCCTCCTAGACTTTAGAAAAATTAGGTCCTCTGTAAGTAAACTTTATGTTACTATTAAAACAAAGTATTTCCTTCCTGTTATTTTAAATCCAATTTCCAAAACTCAGAAAATGCCCCTTAACCTTTTGCATTAGGAATTATTTACTCAATAAGATCTGCTTTAAAAATATTTAGTTGGCTTTTTTTTTTTTTTGAGTTATATCAAAATATAGTGAAAAAAACCAGAACTGAACATAAAATTCTCAAGGCAATCTAATAATATGCAGCAAGTAATCAACAGACTGAAAACAGTCGGAGCTGCTTTAACTGTTATTCCAGTACCAAGCAGAAAAAGTAAAAAGCAGACCTGCACAGTATGGTCAGTCACAGTATAACTGAAACATGACTAATGTAATTAATCATTTTTAAAAGGTTTTGTTATGCTTACTTATATCATAAGCATTATTCCAGGTGTTCTGTAAACTCAGGTCAGCAAATATCCCACATGCATATAAACACAGGTATATAAATATTTTTTGTGCTCCTGAGACTATAAAAATTTAACAATCTGTACATGGAGAAAAGCATCACAAATGGTTTTGATATCTGAGAGATGGAATGGGAATTAAATCTGAGGTGTATGGCCAAAAATAGAAACACACATTTTCAATTGTATAAGCACAGAGATATTCACTGCAAGGAAGCCTAATTACACTATGCAAAATATCACAAATCCCTGACTACATGGCCAAATTCTGCCCTTGTCAGTTAAGTGCATTTTTAGTGACTTCAACAGAAACAGTATGAAACCCCAAATGCTATGAGACTAGCAACAACCTCTTCAATTTCTTCCACATCTACTACCTGATAATGAGACTTAATCTCATTGAAAGATGTTAATGAGAGAACCACAAAAAATGTAATTTTCTTTTTTGGAAAAATAAATTGTAGAGTCCAGATAAAACTACAAATCAAATAGCTATAGTTTGATAATGGCAACAACACCAAAAGATTCATTCTTAAGGAAGTAGCTCATGATCTCACCAGGAAGGAAAGTGGTTTCCATTTCTATTTACAGAATCACAGAATCATCAAACTGGGAAGAGACTTCCAAGATCATCTAGTCCAACCATTAACCTATCACCACCCTAATCACCTCTAAACCATACCCCAAGTGTCAGGTCCAGATGCCTCTTGAACGTTTCCAGACTTGGTGACTCCAGTACCTC